GCTCGTGTCTGCCCAGTAGTCAAGTGATTCAAATGTGAAGAGCAATATGGTTTGGATACTATATTAAAATACAGAAATTGAAGTCTCATTCTTGTATGTATTTGATCTCTTGTTCATACCTTGGTGTGTTTCTGCTCCTCTTGCTTTATTTTTCCAGTTTGAATGGACAGCGTTTGCCTATTTACCAGGTGAAACAGTGCTTAGTGCTAAACTGTAAGCCACGAAGAAAACACTGAGAGCTATTTTCATGTGTCCTCTTCAAGCTCATTGCTAAACACTCTGTTGTAGTCTTTTATTTTATCTGTGTTAATAATGTATTGTATATGCCGACCAGTTTGGTGGTTTGATGTAGTAATCAAATTCTGCGTGTTGATCTGGGGTAAACTTAAAATGATGGACAGAGTAGATATTGAGAAGTTTCTGTTGGTGATGTAGTGATCTCTAGGTTGCAGTTAACCTTGAGTGTATTAAATAAGATAACCTCTGATAAAATACTGTTAATAACCTATGATAATATACTGTTATTTTGTATCTGTATGTAACTTCCTTGTTCTTCCTAGATGCATAGTCACTTTTTCAGACCAGTGAGGTTTATTGTGGTACCTTAAAAGTTTGTATCTGGAATAATTAACAGTTAATGACTGTGCTGAGATATGGTGATGGGGGAGAGGAAGGAGATAATGTAGTTTATGGTACTTAAAAAATTGAGGCTGCAATGAAAGGGGTCAGGCTTTCTTTTGAGTGTCTTATGTGAAATCAACTGAAGTATTTGATTTAGGATTTTCACTGTTACATTAAGTGCATGCAACTTTGAAGACTAGTGCCTAATTTAGGAGCCAGGCTAGAGTTAGTCCAAAGAAAAATCCCCATAATACTGAGGACCTGATGGCCACGCTGTTTGCACCAACTGTTGTGTTCTTCAGAGCTGCTCTTACTGTGCTGTACTGCTTGTACAGATTTTAACTAGCGACATCTTCATTCTTGCCCAGGACTTGCAGTTTTTTATCTATAGTTACATCAGTTTCCAGAATACATTTATATTTGTATTTAGGGTCAGCATAGAGGTCTTCAACCATCCCAAGACACGAGTTGCTCTTTCTTACCAGTATTGCGCGGTTCTAGCCCGCTGTAAATCAGCATGTATGCAAATTTATCGCAAAAGATGGCACAAATGTGCTGGTTTGCTATGAGCGTCCAGAAAAGGGCTTAAAAGTCAGGAGTGAGGATTTGTGGGCTTGGTCCTTGGTGCGTCCCTTCCCTATATAGCCTTCGGACGCTTCAGAAAATGTCTGGAAGCCAGTGGAGCTGAAGCAGAGCTCTTGGGTGGAGACTGACTGGAACTTTTGGGTCGACTTGGATGGCTTCTGGAGGTTCAAGCATAGGGTTTGCTACTTGAGCAGTTGCGGTTGCCCTGGAAGCTACAGTTGTTGGTGCTTATTGTAGACGTATGTCAAGAATTTAACAGGCGTTCTTGGTTACCTTTCATTTATATAAAAGTACAATGACTGCTAAAATTGCCGATAGCTTTGGCAGGGGGAGTGTGGAGTATCACGTACCTCTTGTTTGAGAGATATGTTTGATCCCTTACTTTGCTCTGAAACATGCCTGCCCTTAATTTCAGCGGCATGTCAGCATTTCCTGGACTCCTTAACATCATCATCCCTGTGAAATGAATGCCATTCCGGATACACCTACGGCTTAATGCTTTAGAACAATATTTCTGCTTATGAATCACGGTTGCTATAGTTTAACAATAAGAAACAAAAACCCCTGTGAAACTCCCTATGACCTTCAAGTATGAATTTCAGGGGAAAAAATGCTTCTGGAATACAAAAGTACTTGAATTATCCAGTCTGACTTCCTTGAAGTTCTGTCAAACTACTCTTTGTGTTCATGGAGGAACGTTAAAAATAAAATGGCTTTGGTCTTCTGCATTAAAAAAAAGCTTTTTATTGGGCTGTGCAGCTGTAAAGAACTTCTCTTAAGAGAAAATTGATGGCATTTACATGATACAACTTGAATGTCTAATCTTAATTCAGTGATGTGAAAAGCATGTTAATAGCTAGGCTGCAGTCTTCTGCAATGTTGCTGGAACCCCAAAAGAAAATAACTTGGTGGGGTTTGTTGGAAGTAGTATCTGTCTTGCACCATGATTATAAATGCTCCTAAGCGTATGCTATGCTTCCATAAAACCTTGGTGATTATAACGAGTGTCCGCTTTGATACATCTGTAAATGGAGGAATAAGCTAAAGCGTGCAGATCAGACTGGCTGCGTTTTCGTGCACGGGGTTGTTGTTGCCTTAAAGGGAATGTAGAATCAGCTTTAGGGGGAAAATGTTGCAAAAGCCATTGTTTAATTACTTCCAGTAAAACTCACTTTTGCAAGACTTCTTTCAAAAGCATATGTAAGATTTTTGCGTTGATGGACAAAACTGTATTTTTTTTTATACTCCCAAGCATTTTTAATGGAGGCGTCAATTTAAAATCTTGCTGACTATAGTATTGAAGCCAGCCTGCGTCTTCTAATAAAATGAAATCCATCTTGAAACAAAGTGCTAGTTTGTGGAATTTCCGCATAAAATGCTAGCTGTTTCAAGGCGTGATTGACTGCACATTTCACCTTGATTAA